GCATAGTCGTACTTCCTTTCCTCGTAGTTTCACACGTGGTGCTTCGTCCCCTTTTGCCGTGGTTCACTCTGACATTTGGGGACCTAACCGCATTAATTCTACTTTAGGTTTTCAATACTTTGTTACTTTCATTGATGATTATTCCAGATGCACTTGTTATTTTTGATGAAAAAATCGTTATGAATTATTTCATATCTTTCAAACTTTTTTTAATGAAATTCAAACTCAGTTCGGTGTTTCTATTAGAGTTTTGCGTAGTGATAATGACCGTGAATATCTTTCTCATTCTTTTAAATAATTCATGGCTTCTCATGGTATTTTGCATCAAACTTCTTGTGCTTATACACCTCAACAAAATGGTGTAACTGAACGTAAAAATAGACATCTTATTGAAACAACTCGCACACTTTTAATTCATGGAGATGTTCCTCAACATTTTTGGGGTGATGCTCTTCTTACTGCATGTTATCTCATTAATCGCATGCCTTCTTCGGTTTTAGATAATAAAATACCTCATTCCATTTTATTCCCTCATGAAGCACTTCATTCTTTACCTCTGAAAGTTTTCGGGTCTACATGTTTTGTTCATAATTTCAGTTCTGGTCTTGACAAGCTTTCTCCTAGATCACATAAATGTATTTTCTTAGGGTTTACAAGATCACAAAAAGGATACAAATGTTTTTCTCCTTCTCTTAACCGTTATTTGTGTCAAAAGATGTCACATTTGATGAGTTGTCTCTTTATTTTAAAAGTCAATCTTCACCTCTGTCTCCATCTAATCTTGTCAACACTCCTAATATATTTAATGTTCCTGTTGTTTGTGACCCTCTAACTATGTCTTCACCATTAGTTCTTGCTCCACAGTCAGCTTCTTCTCCACTGCCTCTTCAGATTTATAGTTCTCGAAATCAATCATAACCACCACCATGTGACTCTACTCAAGTTCCAACTACTCTGTCTCCTCCAGATTTGACACATGAGTCTGACCTTCCCATTGCCCTCTGAAAAGGTTTTCGTTCTACACGTAATCTCTCTCCCCATTATATTGCTTTGAGTTAACATCGACTGTCATTACCTTTTTATACATATCTTTCCTCTATTTCTTTTGTGACCATTCCAAAAACTGTTCGTGAAGCTTTAGCCCATCCTGGTGGCGTCAGACCATGTTAGATGAACTAAGTGCTCTTCATAATAGTGGAACTTGGGAATTGGTCCCGTTACCGTCTGAGAAATCTGTTGTTGGTTGCAGGTGGGTGTTTGCTATCAAAGTTGGACCTGATGGTACTATTGATCGTCTCAAAGCTCGTCTTGTGGCCAAAGGTTATACTCAAATTTTTGGGTTGGATTATGGAGATACCTTTTTCCCTGTGGCAAAGATGGCTTCTGTTCGTTTATTTATCGCCATGACTGCTCTTCAACAATGGCCTCTTTATCAACTGGATGTTAAAAATGTTTTCCTCAATGGTGATTTGCAAGAAGAAATATATATGGAGCAACCTCTTGGGTTTGTTGCTCAGGGGGAGTCTTCTGGGATGGTATATCGTCTTCGCAAATCCCTATATGGCCTAAAACAGTCTCCTAGGGCTTGGTTTGGAAAGTTTAGCAAGGTTGTTCAACAATTTGGTATGACTCGGTGTGAATCAGATCATTCTGTCTTTTATCGACACTCGAGTGCTGAATGTGTTTACTTGATAGTATATGTTGATGACATCGTTCTTACAGGTAGTGACAACCATGACATCTCTCAGTTGAAACAACATCTCTGTCACCATTTTCAGACCAAAGATCTTAGCAAACTTAGATATTTCTTGGGTATTGAGGTGACACAGTCCAATGATGGTATTGTTATATATCAGAGGAAGTATACCATAGATATTTTGGAGGAAACTGGGTTGATGAGTTCAAAGTTTGTTGATACACCCATGGATCCCAATACTAAACTTATACCAAATTAGGGGGAGCTTGTATCTGATCCTGAGCAGTATAGAAGATTGGTTGGAAAATTGAATTATCTTACAGTTACTCGTCCTGACATTTCCTTTGCAGTCAGTGTGGTAAGTCAATTTCTTAATTCACCATGTGAAGATCATTGGAATGCAGTCATTCATATCTTGAAGTATATTAAAGGATCTCCTGGAAAAGGATTGTTATATGGTTCTAATAACCATACAAGAGTTGTTTGCTACTCGGATGTCGATTGGGCAGGATCTCCTTCGGATAGAAGATCTACATCTGGATATTGTGTCTCCATTGGTGGTAACTTGATCTCATGGAAAAGTAAGAAACAAAGTGTTGTGGCAAGATCCAGTGCGAAGCGAGAATATAGAGCTATGACCTCAGCTTCCTGTGAACTTGTTTAGCTCAAGCAATTGCTTAGAGAGTTACAATTTGGAGATGTCACTCAAATGACACTTGTGTGTGACAATCAAGCTGCTCTTCATATTAGTTCTAATCCTATCTTTCATGAGAGGACCAAACACATTGAGATTGACTGTCATTTTATTCGAGAAAAGATTATGTCTAGAGATATCAAGACTGAGTTTGTTAACTCAAGTGATCAGTTAACATATATTTTTACTAAATCTTTACGGAATCCTAAAATTGATTATATTTGTAACAAGCTTGACACATACGATTTGTATGCTCCAGTTTGAGGGGGAGTGTTAGATATTATTTGATATTGTTAAGATATTGTTAGATATTGGTAACCACAATATCAAACAATATCTTCTGTTTATTCTGTTACTTTCAGTTACTCTTTTAGTTGTATTTCTCTACTATAAATAGGGTGTGATTTATATATAAGGGAAATTAATTCCAAACCCTATTTTCTCTATATTCAACAGTGACTAAAACCTAAATGCTTTATCTTAAAAATTAGAAAACATTTTGGATTTTTTGTAACAATTAAATTTTATTTTGTTTAGAAAGGAGTTAAGTTTTGGGTTGGTGTGTGTATGGAAAGTATAATTTATGGAAATCTTGTTGATTTTCTCTTAATCTGGATGTGAATAATTTCCAAGGGTACCAATCTTAGAAAGAAAAGAATAATGGTAAACTAATATTAACTTTAACTAAATTAGGAAAAAAAAGAAATTAAAAGATCATACTTTCACAAGTGTTAATGATTTTAATATTTGAAATATAAATATGGACTTCAAAACTAAAATGTCTATCCAATTGTTGTTTTTTCCCAAAAGAATGTATCTTGAAAAAATGAAAAAGAAATTTGATCATTAATCTGAATAATTATTAAAAAAAAAAGTGAGTGAAAAGTTGATTATAATTTTCATAAAGTGAATAGTAATTGTGATTTTTCTAATATCAACATTCACCCGATAACTATAGCTAATGAAGTATATCTAAAGACCTCAAAGCATTTAGTAATTTTCTAATAATTAGTAAGTATCTCCTATAATACATGAATAATATTTAATTGAATGAATTTTAGTGTATATAAATGTTTAAATTATAATAGAAAATACATAATAAATTTTAAAAATTAATATATAAGTAATGTAGAATCATAAGATATGTAAATTCAAAAAAAGTTTGTTTTAATATCTTTGGTGAAATTTGTTTATTGGTTCAGAAACGAATCCATACTTTTATTATTGCTTACACAACGAGTTTTCAACTGAGAATAAAAAATAATGATGTTTAAATTGATTTTTTTTTTAATTCAAGTTGAGACTTGAGGAAAGAAAGTAGAAATGCAACATAGAGGAAAATTTTAAAACAATTAATAATTTGGATTACAAAATATAAAAATAAGTACTAAATATTAGTCGTGAAAACCGATACATTATAGAAAAAAAAGACAATTGATAAAGAAATGTCGTAAAAGAACTATAAAAGAAAAAGGTCAAGGTGGAATAAAACTTATAATTCAGCGGATAAAATCTCTTGTTACAGGAAATTTTACTCATGAATTTAAGAAACAAATTGTTACAAGGCTTTTTAAAATGCATTTATTATTATTTAAAAATATGCTTCCAAATATGGAAAAAAGTTATTTACGATTAATAAGTCAACTTATTTACATAAATACATATTAATCCACGTACAAATAATATAATTTTATTATTGTAATTGATGTAAAGGTGTTAAATTTTTAATGTCTTGAAATTATATAGATGTTAACTTGTTTAAAGATGAAAGAAATAGTATACAACATGTCACATGTCTATCAAGTCAATGCGTTAACCACACTGCGATCAAGAAATTAAAACTATTTTTTTCTGTTGTAAAAAGATACTTCTACCATATTTCCTATTGACCTAATTCAATAAAACGATTATTTTAACTTCTTGAACAGATCTCAGTACAGGAGTTAATAATAATAATAACAGTAATAATAATATTATTATTAGTATACATCGCTCACTTCGTATAATTAATTTAATAATCTGAAATATTAAATTATTTTAATTATTAAAATATATATTTCAAATAATAATTATGATAAATATTCATAGTTAATATATTGTTTGAACAACATTAAATTCACACTCAGCATAAACATCAATGATCCATATAACATAAAATTATCACCTTCTCTTGTAGTGATTACCAAAAACTTAATAAAATAGGTAATAACATATAAAAACCCTAAACACACATATTTATAATAATTATTACGTAAAACATATTTTATCCAAAAAATCGCATATATATATATATATATATATATATATATATATATAATTAAGTTTCTAATACTAAATTTATGAGATTAAAATGATTTTTTTAAAATTATATAATTCAAATGCTTTCTCGTACAAATAAATTTTGTACACCGCACCAAAACGAGCTGTTAAAAGCAAACCGTAATTTGGTGCAATAGAACCAGTTTACTGGTTTGGATCAGATTTCTAACACTCTTCGGTGGTTGATCCTGTTCCATGAATGCTTTCGTTGGAGAGGAGGACTCAACATGGGACAGTGGAATCTACTTCTCAGAACGCAACAGCTGGTGCCACAAAACAAGCTTCCACTACTCAATGTTTATGATCGCCATTAATATGCTGCCAGTAAGAATCATCAACTTCGGTGTTGAAAATAAAACTGGTAAACAGTGTGGTGATGTCGCTGGCCAGTGAACAAACAAAAATTAAAACCATGAACTCAGTCCCAACCAATGCAATGCAAACCTCCTAAATGTTTAAAAGGTATTTTTCCATTAATTTGAAATAAATGTATGGGTTAAACATTGACATTATAAAGCATCGATTCCTCAAAATTCGCTGTTGCATTTGGTTTGATTTTGTTTACATTTTCAATTTATTGAAGTCCCACCTTATTTTTACTTCATTTCCTGTTCTGAAGAAATTGCATAGAGATAGACGAATACGGAAAATAATGGAGAAAGATATTAATGAGGAGATATAGTAAGGAAGTTAATTACCGCAGATGAGGGAGAGTCATGTGCGTCAAGAGTGTTGGGTGTCGAATGACAACTGCCTTCCATTCTTCTTTGCTTATTTTATCATCTTTGTCAGCATCAGCATCTTGAAATGTCTGATATATTTTTAAAAGATAAAGCTACTTAAAGGATCCAAACTGAAATCAACAGAGGGAAAAATATTTTCCTGCAAACAATTACCTTATCAACAATGGTATCAAGGATTTCATCTTCCAGATCCATACCACATTCTGACAAAATGGCAACAACCATTTGCCTAACCTGGAAAAAGTTGCAGGTTAACAAAACAGTTCCAACTGTTGGTAAACAAAAAACAACAGAGGGAAGCGTGTTATAAAAAATAACAGACATCCTCATGATTAGTTTGAGCTTCACATATTGTTTAATAATGGACATAAAATTCCCATAGACTTCACAAACAGAAACCATCACCACCACTTTCTTTGTTATACTTATCAAATCAAATTGATGTTGTTGCACCAAGGGAATTCTGGTGCAAAATTATTCTGTGATAGCAAAAATATATTTAAGCCAATAATATAGTGATAACCTGGACAGGCCAAGATACTCACTTCTTCTCGCTCAATATATCCAGTCTGTCTCAAGTCATACATTCTAAAAGCAACTACAAGCAAACCAATGAAAAAAGTTATATTTTTTTATCAATAACGCAAAAGAATAGATAATGTAACAACACGAATACAAAACTCTTGCTGAAGACTTACAGTCAATTTTCTTTTCCAGAGGAGTACAAGGATGGAAGATACCGAGAGCATGCACAAACTCCTCAAATTCAATAACACCATTTCTTTTTTCATCGAAAATATCAAACAACTAGAAAAATTTGTTATCATTAAAATGAACTCAATTATAAAATTCAAAAAAGAAAAAGGCAGCAGCAAACAACAAATCTTTCACCAAATCGAGTATATATATCTGTAACCGTGATATTTTCTTTAATGGGAGGGAAATGAGAAGATTATGCATAGAACAACATCTCCTGATTCTATTGGCTATCCAATTTAAGGTCAACAATGTAAAATTAGATATTCAAACATCAGAAATACAGTTGTCAATCTGTACGATACACCTTTCAATATCTTTATCATACACACACGCACACTTACATCTTTGATCTTTCAAAATGTTTTATTCCAATGACCGGCAAGCAATTTATCATAGCAATTTAAGACTTTATTCAGTATTAACAATCATTTACAAAAGGAGAAAAGGGCTGGCCTGTAAGAGTTCAAAAGGAATGATAAAAAAAAAACACTATAGTTTGTTGATCACGCATCACATAGCAAAAGCATCTTTAGGTCTAAAACCGTCTATGATGATCTACAGGGGATTATGAAGGAGAATTTGAAAGAAAATAAAGAGTGGAAAGATGGATAAATGGAGCTCTAAATATTGTCATTTATTTACCAGCAAAAATTTATATTGAGGCAGCAGCATCCTATTTGCCAATATACATACCACATCAAGTATCAATTAACCATGTTAGTGTTGGAGCGGAGTTAGTATACGGCAACAGGCTATAAAGTTTTTTGTTCACGAGTTACAACGGATGAAAATTATTAAACTGGAAAATGACTGAATTAGTTGCGAGAGCATAAACAAAGAGGCAGTATGCATTAGGAAAATATTTCCACCATGATTTCCATATACCACAGGAAACCAAAGGGTATGAACTAGTTTAGGTCCCTGAAAGATATTTTCTTAGCAAATCAAAGTTAGATTTTGACAAAAGTCCCTTGTTTAGATCGGCCTCCCTTCCAATAAAATCCATTGGTTCCTCACCTCCAAACCAAGTAGTCCACTGGGTCATGAAAGAAATTAAGAGAGCAGAAAAAAAAAAAAAAAAAAAAACAGTTGTGAAAATGCTTATACCCTGTCAAGGAAAAGATTGTTCCCAGTTGAGGTCTTCAACAGTGCCAAAGTGAGTTCTTCCTTCACAAAACAAACAAACAAGAGTTAAAATTAAGAACAAAAATGCACAAACTTAAGATCAAAGATACATTGATCCCCAAATCCCAATGTAAGCAGTTAACTTAACTAGCTGTACCTTGTGTATGAGACCATCTTCAATGATTAAGTTACTCAACTTCTTGAACAACTCGTGCACCGCCTCAATTTCATTAACAGTAACTGCCACACACAATCCTAGATCTTAAACCGCCATTTCCTTAGCAAAATAAACAAAAACAGCAAAAAAAAAAAAAAAAAACGAACAGGGAGAGTCCTTGGCGAGAGCGAGAATGTCGTGGAAGGGAGCAGGAGAGGGTTTCGTCTTCGCCGGAGAACGGAAACTGAAGCAACCAGTTAAGCTAAAAATCAAAGCTTCAACAATTCCTACGAGCGGAATGAACACCGCACACAGCGTCTCTCCAAACGTCAAGCTCGATCTCTGACACCAACCGATCCCAAATTCAAAATTCGTTCTCACGATAACGAAACAGAAATCAAAGTCGAAATTGAAATCGCGAGTTTTTTTTTTTTTTTTTTTTAAGTGTTACCAGCGATACACCCGTTTCTTGGAACTCCATTTCATCTTCAAAACCTTTGGGCAGAATTAGAATCAGAATTAAAATGCGATGGTTATCTGTGAATTTTTCTCTTATAATTATCAGAATTTTAGAAATTAAGTTTTTTAAGCAAGCCAATTATTTTATCTTATTCTTTATAGTATGTAAAATATTTAATAAAGCTTATTAACGTGACGCAGAAAACCAGTTGACAAGTGGTGTCTGACACATATTAATTATTTAGATCGATAACAGTTTTACCTAATAAAAGTGTTTTTATTTAAAAATACTGTATATAGAAAACTTTGTTAACTGTTTAATCTCTTTCAATACGTTAGTTCTTAATTTGAATTTTAATATTTTTGAAATATCCATAATTAAAAACAAAATTTATCACAAATAAAACTTTATAGTAAATCTTTATTTATTTATTTATCATAAAATTAATTATAATACTATTTATATATTTAAATATTAATTTATTCTGACTTTTGTTAATAAATGAACTTTATTATGTATAAAACAAAGATAAAATAATTAATACTAATTACTAATTATCATAAAACCTCTAATGCAAAAATAAGAATGGGGCCTTATGTCCACCACATGAGGCTGGGAATGAATATGATTAAAATACGAATCAAAGGCGTAATTAAGTACTTATTAATTATTAATTAAATTAGTGGCTAGTATTTATCCACGTGGATGAAACATTTGCTGATAGGAACATAAATTGTGACGTGGGGTTGGCTTGTCATCATGTTTGGTACAAATAGTTTCTATTTAAACAATAATTCATCTTTGTCGGCATGTTTAGAGCAACATTGTATTTATTTTATAATTTTAATTTATCACAATATTTTTAAATATTAATAAATTTAAAAAATATTAAAATTTAAAAATATATATAATTTTAAAAAAAATAATTAATGCTAAATAGAAAAGATATATTTATAATTAAAATAATTATTATAATTTAAATTAAAAATACGTATAAATATCTAAAGAGAAAAAAAGTATAATTTTAAAAGTAAGAAAAAAAATGGTGTCCCACAAGTCAAGACTTGGTTGGTATAAGTGTCAAAGAAGCATTTTGAAAATTATTTAAAGTGCAATGATTGATGGATAACCATTAATTAATCTCGTACCTAATTATTTAGATTAAAAGCTGAAAATGATTTATAATCATATTTAAAACATTCTTAATGCTAATTTAATTGTTAAACAAAAAACGTTTGTCTTGATTTAGTTATTAATATTAGTCAATTTGATTTTGTTCTCCACATGTTAAAAAGGTGATTTATTTTATATATTTGAAAAACAAGTATTTGTAATCCCTAAGTAGTACTTTAAGGACTAACATGTTTTTTTTTTTTAAATATTTTTTAATATATAAAATATGAATATTTATTATTTTTCATCCTAAAAGCAAATTGTGACTCCATTTGATGTTTTGGCCAATCCTAAGTAAATGATTAATCCTACAATTTTGGATTGATTATTTAATAAACAAATTTTTTTAATGGAAATATATTAATAATAATAAAAAAGTTTATCTAGTAACTTGTTTTTATTATTTTTTTCTAAATATTATTTTAATTTATATGAGTCAAGTTTAACTTATAAAAAAATTGTTTTTCTTCGTATTTTTTTTATAAACATTTATAAAATAATGAATGACAAAAATAATAATCCAACAACGTAAGCAATCTATATTATTTAAATTTAAAGGAAGGGATGTTAGGTGGAATATTAAAAATAGATATTCACTTTAACTTCACATTTTATATATTTGCTTTTTAACTGAATTTAATTAAAAAATAAACATTTTAAAAGAGTTTTGTCTTTTGATTGTTTTTCGTTAAAAAATAAGAATATTTGTACTATGTAAAAAAAAAGCTTAAATGTAATTAATTTTTTTTAATTCATAATTTCAGTCTTCATTCTTAAAAGAAAATATTAAATATTTTTATTATATATATATATATATATATATATATATATATATATATATATATGGATGCACTTTTGTATTCTCAAATACTTTATACAGAAATTGAATTTTAAGAATATCCCATCGTTAAATTATGATTTTATATTATTATAATTATAATTTTTAACCACAATACAGTAATTAACTTATTTACATTTTATTATATATTAGTTCATATTAAATTAATGTTAATATCCATACACAAAACATTAAATAATATAATTTAAAAAATTAATGTATTTAAATTGATTGAATATTATCTAGTGTGATAAACTAAGAGTAAAAAGTTAAAAGATAATTTATATATATAATTGATTATTTATATCTTCTTATTATTTATACTAGTATAATATATTTTTTTAAAATAAGTAGAAAAAGTTAAAATAATAATAATTAAATGGTCAAAATATAAATAAATATATTTTTCAAAAAATTTCATCCCAAATTCTATAATTTATTAGGCATCTATTTTAGTAAAAAAAATTATTGGATTCTTTTAATTGATGATATATGCATCATTACTTGTACATTTTACAAACAAACTGACCTATGACAACTATTTCTGGTTGACACGAGTTCATGTTCAAGGATAAACAGGGCTCTTATTTTATTTTATTTTTCTTTCATATTTATTAGAACACTCCTGTATTTGTGTGCTCATAACTCAACCTTATATCTAAGTGGTAAAGATAGGGGGTAATATTTTTGACCTTTTGCCTTTCACCAGAGAATTTGTATCTGGAAAATGAACTCCATCACTGATGTCCTTCACATACCCTTCTGCTGTTACTTTCACAGGGTAAGTCACAAGATGCACACCTTCCATGTCCTTAATTTCTTCATTGCTGTAGATTTCCCACATTTCATCTCCTATTGATCTCATTCTCTCCACACATTCCAATCTTTCTGGCTCCAAGAACAACTCTTCAACACTCACTGTGTGCTCATACCATAGAGACATTCTATATGCTTGAATATCATCTAGGTTCATTTGGTGGTCATCATCTCCATCTTGAGACTGGTAGCATCCTATGGCCATCTCAGTGTCCCTTTGCCCATCCATCGATCTTTGGTTCACATTAGCTGATCCTATCAATATGTATAGGTCGTCCACTAGTGGCACATGCAGGGAAACAGTATTTGTCAACCAACCATGTTAATAAAAAACTTGCACCACAATTCAAGAAACACTTCAATTGCTTATATGTTTTTCCTTTCATATAGACAATAAATTATCATGCAAACATCTTTCCAAAGAAGCATCTGTGCAAATAGAAGATAGAGTTTTGTTGGATATTTCCGGTGGGAGCTGACAATATTAAATCTTTTTAAAATCTTTAACATGAATCTCACTTATAATCTATTAAATATGAGATTTCATCTCACTTTGCTAGAAAAATTATACTAGAAGCATATGTTGACAATGGTGTAGTAGTGTAGATGACTTCAAAAAATTGAGACTTACAAGTCAATTAATTAGCCTTGTCACAGTATATCTAAAAGGACAAATCATAAATGTTTTTAGTGTTGTTCTTCAATACGAACTACAGTTTCATTTCATTAATTTATGTTGATCTTTAATGCAAAGATTATTATGAGGATTGTCATATTGAAATTACTCCAATCAAATATATCAGAATTTCATGAACAAGAAAAGACCAAAAAATGAAAAAGAAAATGATAATTGAAGAATAGTGCTATATTACCTATCATGAACTTGGACTGAACACAAACCATGAATCTCCTATTTTTTTGAGCATTCCAGTATTGAGTTTCAGGTTGGGGTGAATCTAGTGGAAGATACTCCCCTGGTCCCTTCTGTTCCCTGTTTGCAAGACAGAAGAAATTCAAGTAATCTCTAGGGTGTCCTGGTTGTCCACTTTCTTGTATTGCTTCTCCAATCAACCTATACATCATTGCCATTGTTTCTCTAGTCCAATGCAGTATATCTTGAACAGGTTCACTTTCAGGCTCTCCTTCTGGCCACATTGGTAGGACTATGTACACAGCAAATCTCTCCTTTGCCTTGATCTTACTTACCACCTTCAGTGCAATTTCAATAGGAATTAGATTAGTGCAGCCACAGTGCCTATCTTTCTTCCACCAATGGCATCCCCCAATGAAATATTGGCTTTCAATGTATATAAACCTTTCAGCTCGCCTGATTGCTTCAACATAAGCTTCATGGATGCTCCTCTCCACAGTTGACTTTGTAGACAACTCACCAACTGAGACATGGTCAATTGACCTGTATACTTGAACATTCCAATTCCTCTCCATAGGATTGTTTGAGCTTGTCCTAGGCAAAAGATTTGCCAAGGTGCTAGAAGGGACTAGAAAAGAAGGATCACACTGCTTCGTCCACCTTTGCTCAAAATTGGTTAACACATCCCAAGCAGCCTCACCAATAACACAAGCATGAGCATCATGCCAAGGTGCCCTTGGCCCTCCTTTGTTGAGGCTAGCTCCTTCAATGCTTGTTTGGTAGAAGTCATAACAATGAGATTCCCTAATGAGTGTTTGAAACAATGAATGCTGCTCCGTGTCATATCTTCCATCACACAAATCCAATCCACCCACAAAGCTTATAAGCTCTCTGTCATTAGATTTGGGTACTTTTATGTCCACTGTTATAGTCTTCTGATGGTGAGCAAAGAGTGTGGGGAACATATGGTGTAATCTTGGACACTTTCTGCATATTACTTTTGTGTGGTTGAAAAAAGCAAAAGCTTCCTCATCTTGGTTGTTCAATTCACCTTTGTTCTTAACAAAGGGTAAAGATGTTTCATCATCCCAAAGCATAACCCTCACAGCCACTCCTTCCTCTGCCTTCTTCTTTAATAGGTCACCTAACTTAATTCCTCTGGCATGTGGGATTTCTGTGTGAGGATCTCTAACCTGTCAAGGAGTATATTAGCTTCTAAACAAAATGTACATCAGTGAGAAAGGGGAGTGGATCCTCACATTTACATGATGTCATGTTCAAATTTTGTGTCTCTACTCTACTCAAATATTAAATAAGCCTTAC